TTCTTTCTTTCTTATTTCCAGTGTGCCCACATCTCCCAGGTTGTACTAGAATTCACCAGAAAGGTAACTTGCCTCTTGGCCCCATAACCATAGGTGGAGGAAAGCTTACCCTCCTTCCAACCTCATTTTGTGGATGAGGAAACTGGGGAGGCCCTGGGGGGTCGGCAGCTTGCCTCACTGGTCTTCAGTGCATTCTGGGCCTGGCAGCCTCCACCCTGGGTAGCCCCGGAATAGACCAGAAGCACTTCAACAGCCACGAAGCCAGCCCCCTTCCCGTTGCATTGCGCCCACTGGGCTGGCAGGTCATCCTTGGCTGGGTGCTTGGGCTGCACCTCACTTCCTTCCGTGTAGCGGCCAGACGCCATCTGTCTTCCCTCTCTGCTGGTGGCTCCTCCAGTGGCTTGGGGTTTTCAGGAGCTGGGACTGGCAGGAATGGGGCTGGATTTGCAAGCCAGTTTGGGTCCAGCCGGTCTTGGCATGGCTCAGGGGAGCCCAGAGGGTGGGGAGTGCCCTGGCTGGGCTCGTTCATTGCCGCCATACCTCCTCCTCCTCTGCTCTCATGCCATGGGGGTGAGTGTAGGGAAAGCTGGAATGTGTGACTCTGGGTAAGTCATTTCACTTTGCTGAAATCCTATAGGACTTTTCTGAAGATTCACTAATGTGGAGGTACCTCTCCCGGAGCATGGCCAAGGACAAATTGTGGCTCTCGCCTGCTGAGGGGGGGATGGGAAAGGCGGTGCTGAGAGCCGGATAGTCTGAGGGAGGAGTTTGCTGCCAGCTTCTCTCACTGTTCTGGCAGCTCATGTCCATAGTGCCCATCTAAGCCATCTTCAGGCTCCTGGAAGGATCGGACTAGGCTGCTGGAAATGACAGCACAGACCATCAGCAGGCAGAGGGTGGAGGTGCCAGCGTTCCCAAGACCACCCCGGGTTCCTGGCAGTGCACCGAAGGCCAGCCTTCTCACCCACGTTGCCTGACCCTATAAGTGGAATTGAAGACACAGAAATTACCAGGAGGGGACATTCCACCATAGTGCCATTAGGCCTTCTGGCCAAGCCATAAAACAAGAGGAGCAACATGGGCACTCCCTTTGAACTTGAATCCTTTCTAAACCACCATTCCAGCCCCAGGGAGGCCACGAAGTGGCAAGCAAGAGGGAGCCTCCTCGGGCCCCTCCTTGAGGGTCAGCAAAAGCTCATTCTCTCCTCACCTTATCCTGGATGCTTAAAAAAATATTGTGGTAATGTAGGTCAGTGAACTGACCAGCCCCACACACCGGCAGGACTGCAGGGCCCGCCAGCCCGCACACTGGCCCCACTCGGTCAGATGAGAACGTAAGAAGTGCCGGGAGCCCCCGCTTCCCCAGCCCTAGGCTTTTGTTTATGTAGCACTTAAACCAACTTTGGGGTCGTTGCTGTCTGCCTTTAAAGCCCTGAAGCTTTTTGAAGTTCCCCTGTAGTTAATAAAATTAGTCTGCCCTCCTTGCAAGTCCTTGGCTTGGGGGAAGATGGATCCTTCTCTCTGTCTGTGGCATTTTGCTTTTTAAGTTAATATTCCATAACCAAAAGGAAGAGGGAGGGCAGGGGAGAAGATACAGTAGGAAGTCTTCTGAAATGCCCTCTTGCTAATAGGTAGCATGCCTGCCCCCCACCTCCTGGCCCCAGTCACGATGAAGCCCAACTTCCAGGCCCATTGGAAGGCCAAGAGATGGCCCACTGTGCTCCAGGAATGGCCGGCGCTGGGGCATGAGGGGAAACTAGGTGCAAGACGAGGCTGTTGGCTCCCTCTCAGATGAAACGTACCACCCCACCACAAGTCCACTCAAGTGATTTTCTTTGGCCCCAAAGAGCCGAGAGTCACCTTCTGTCACCAGCGTCTCCCTCCCCATCCGTGTATCATGTGCATATGTACTGGGACCTGTCATGGTTCAGGGCGACATGAGAGAGAACTCCTGGTCCATCCGGTGAGGGACACAGACAGGCCAACTACCTGCGATGAGACAGAGCGGTCAGGCCTTGGGACGGAAGGTGGCTGCCGCGTGGGGAGGCTGTCTGAGAAGAGCTCATCCAAGCTGAGCCTGGAAGAACTGCTTGGGGTCTGGGGCAGGTATAGAGTTGGGAAGGGGGTGGGGGAATGTAAACGTGTTCTTTAGGTTCACCGCCTTGATGATGGTCATGGTTTCATGGGTAGCTGTGTATCTGAAATTATCAAGTTTTACCTAAAATGTGCACATGCTGTTATGTATCAATTATGCCTCAATGAAGTGTTAAAAATGAAAGCCCACAGGCAGGACTGAGCATTGCACATGTGCCGACGATCACAGTTAAGCACGTGTTCAGCTTTGACTTAGACATTCAAGGAGTGCACAGAGAGTAAGTGCTGTTTCCATGTGGGAAATGCGGCTGTGGAGAGCAGAGACCTGTCTCTGCTGTCACAGACCTGGGTCCTGTTTGGGAAGAATAAACGAGTAACAGATAAAGCTCTGGTGTCATCTCAGGGAACGAACGATCTGTGCTCTGAAGACAGACAGGACCGGGACATGCCAAGGAGCGAGGGCCAGGGTGCAGGGGGACACAGGCATGAAGGCCTTGACTGGGGCCCTTGCTGGGCTCCAGGGGCCTGCCCGATATGGGGACACCCTGTCTGCCAGTGAGCAGTCCAAAGGCAGTGGGGTGGAGGGAGAATATAACTACCTCCAGAAGGAGATGCACGAGCCCCTTGAGGCAGGAGCTTTGATTCGTCCTCGGTGACATAGCTGGGTGCAGGGTAGGCTCTCCGTAAGTATTTGTAGGGAGAAAGGAAGGAAGGACATTCTGAATTTGGGGTGAATTCTCTTCCTGGATTGCCCATTGGGTCCCTCGGGTGCCTTTTATGAGATGATTCTCTAGGTAGGTCTTAAGCTCCTGGTGCAAGGACTATGTCTTTTGTCACTTCTCAGCCAGCCATGATGCTGGGGACAGGGCTTGGGTCTCAGCTGGCTCTGTCTCGTGGGCCAGCAAAGGCCTGGAACCCACCCATCCTGCCCAGAGTGCCCTGGGGCATCCCAGCAGCCCCAGACCTGCCTGCTTCTCCAGTTTGGGGAGGGGGTGGTGGTCGGTGCAGCCTCACTCTTCCTGAATGCTGCAGCACAGGCTTTGCAGAAGCCCACCATGCTTGGCTCTGCGCTTCCACTGTGCCGCTGGCCCTGGCAACTACAGTTCTCTCAGGTCTCGCCTCAAACCGCCCTGAAGTAGTAATGAAAACCCCTTGTAGACAGGAGTGCTCGAGGGCTCAGTGGGGTCCTCCCTAAATGCCTCTGTCTTAGGCTGGGGTGCCCCGAGGCAGTCTCTTTTTCCTAAAGACAGGCGGCCTCTCCGCAGCACAGGCTAAGCTTAGGACAGGAAGTGGCACTGAGCTGCTCTGGTCACGGGGAGCATGGAATGCCTAGGCCGGAGCCATCGGGTCTGTTCAGCTAAACATCCTGGGCCCCTCCGGTACCCGGGCTAGGCTGCCGAAGGTGAGAGGCAGCCCTGCCTCCCGGGCTCCGGCCAGGCTGGGAATGGAGCTTCACGTGCAGGCCACTCTGGTGGGTGTGGAGACAGGACTCCTGGGAGCCGGGAAGCCCGGGAAAGCATTTGGGGCTGGTGACATCTGCTTGCCCTCGCTCCCTGTGGCCTGCAGGTCATGGCTTCCTTCATTTCACCCAGCAGCGCCCACAGATGGGGCAGAGCCCACAGCAAGCCAGCCCACAGGGGAGCTCTGCTGGATCCGAGTCCTGAAGGACGAGGAGGAGTTCATGTGTGGGAAGGAGATTGGTGAATTATAAAGGGCTGCGCGAGTGGAAATGATTATTCTTATCGTTATTTGTATCCGATTCATCCATCACCGGGGAGAGGAGGAATGCAAGTACCTTTTATCTGGTGCTATGAATCAAATAGAATAGGATATGTTTTTCTAAAAGGGTTTTAGGGTAAATGGGACAGTTTCTGCCTTTCAAAACAATCCATCTGGGGCCCTTGGCCAAACCTTGGTGTCTTGAGCTGAAGTGAGATGTTTCCGAGGTGGAGGACAGCCCAGCCCACGGGGGTCCCCCATGAGCCTCAGCCTCAGGAGGAAAGCACGTGGAGACAGCAGGTCCCACCGCCGGCAGCACTTCTGGTCTCCACGCTGCTCCCCAGGCTAGTGCCTGCTTAGGCTCAGCCCTGGTCCCCAGAAGCGCCCATGCTGGTGCACAGGGCCTGGAGAGCAGGAGGAAGCCTCCCCCGTTTCCCAGGGGCAGCCGTGTGGGAGCCAGCATGCCAGATGCCAGGTGGAGCATGGGTCCGCTCCAGAGTAGAAGCAAATCTCAGGATGGAGCTCTGTGTTAGCCCTTCTGAGGTCATCTGGGAGAGGAGCTAGTCTTTAATACCTAAGAGCATGTGTGCGTGCACACACACATGTACACACCCCCTTTCTCTCTCTTTTATGCAGAGGCCTGGCCCCTTCCTGGCACAGGCTCTGGAAAGGAGCCAGGCAGGGAAGGGGAGGCCAGCCACCTGGTTGCGGGTGGGGGGGCGGTCTTCAGGCCATGCCATCTACCGTAGCGGGAGAGTGACGCTTTAGCCTTTCCCATGCTCCGTGCCTGGGGAGAGGTTCAAGGGTGAGAGTCAGGTGCAGGCAGGACCATTGTGGATTCTGAGCTCCCTCTGCCCTGGGAGCTCTGTGACCTTGGATGGATGGCTGAAGTCTGCCATGCGGCAATTTTGCATCTGTAAAGTGAGGAAAGAGTGCCTCCCTCTCATTGCTGTGATGCTAAGTGTGATCCACATAATGTTTTCGGCCTGGCAGCAGCCAAGGCTCAGTGGAGGTCAGCGGCGGTGGTGATGGGGGCTTGGTCGCTGCATGGCTCCAGTGCGTTCCATCATCCGGGAGATGGGCAGATCACCCTCGGTGGGGCTGGGGGGTAGAGGGGTAGCAGCAGCGGACCTGGCCTCCTCCAGCACACACTGATGCTCTCTCTGGGGCCGGGTGTGTGGGGACAGGTGATGGATGACCACAGCGTGATCGGCCGCTCCCTGTTCAAAAAGGAGACCAACATCCAGCTCTTCGTGGGCCTCAAGGTGAACCTATCCACTGGGGAGCTGGGAGTCATTGACAGCGCCTTTGGCCAGAGTGGCAAGTTCAAGATCCACATCCCTGGTGAGTGCAGTCCCTTCCTTCCACTGGCAGGTGCTGTGTGGGCAGGGAGAGATGGTGGAGACCATGCCCAGACAGTGCCTCTTGACTTAGGATGCTCAGTCCGCCTGAGCTGATGGACAGGGCCTAGCCCTCTCAACATCATGGTCTCTGGTCTCAGGCTTGTGGCTAGAGAGCCAGGGCAGGTCCTGGGGGTGGGGGTAGGGGTCTGGCGTAGAGTCAGCCTCTGGTCTGAGCCAGGGTCAAGGTGTGAGTCTGAGCTGTGCTCCACTGTAAACCATACAGGGGTGACCTTGGATGAGTGACCTGGCTTGTCTGTGAAAGGCAATACTGATCCTGATCCGGGAGGTGCTTTGGAGGGAGAGTTGGTGAGAGAGTCTGCCGGGGCCTGGCATGCTGCCCAGTAGCCAGTACGGTTTCCCAGAATATGAGTTGCCACCTAGTTTTTTGCCCGGTGGAGAACAATAGTTGCTGAGCCTCTGTGTGATCTGACTTGGGACTTGTCGGTGGTGGGGTCAAAGGTGTGCTTTTGCTCTTGGAAATAGAGCCCTGGGATCCCTTTAGTCCCTCCCTCCCTTCCATCACTACTGTACTCACCCCACACCCATCTTCTGGGGGTCCTGCCGCACGCCAGGCAGGCTGCCACGGTTGTGGGAGGGGACAGGTGGGAACACATTCAGTGAATATCTACTGTACATTGCAGAAAAATAAAGCAGGGAGAGGGTGAGAAGCACCGCGTGTGCACCTTTGGACAGGGGCAATCAGGGAAGACCTCTCTGAGGAGGTAACAGTTGAATAGGGCCCTGACCAAGGGGAAGGAACACGCCATAGAGAGAGGCAACAAGTGCCAAGGCCCTGGGTTAAGAGTGAGTTTGGGTGTGTGTTTGAGGACCGGTTGTTTGGCACGAACTGGGAGGCGTGTGGGATGCCACTTTCCTTCACCAGCATCGTGTTAGGCCACTTCTCAAACACGCAGCAGAATTGAAGTCTATGGAGAAACTCTGACTTCACATCAGCATGTGGCCGTACTTTGCTTGTCTGCGGGACTCTGGGTTTTAGTCTGTGAGGGTTGGAAAGCCACGGGGAGGTTCAGATCAGGTCAGCAACATGCTGTGGGTGTGTAGCTCCTTGAGTGAAATCTCCAGGTAGGGTCGTGCCCTGGAATGCTGAGTCCTTCTGCAAGCCCAGAGTGTCATATGTGGCAGTTGCACTCTTGTGAGGAAGCGTAGCAGGCACCGGAAGCTTGTTTCCCCGCGACACTCAGATCTACTTTGACTGTACCCTGAGGCCTCTGTCGGGGTGGAGTTCAGCTCTGTCACGATTGGAGATACTCCTTGCGGAAGGCAGAGTGGCCCACCCATAGGCTTCAGGCTCCTGTCCTTTTCTCTCCACTGCTCTGGTCATTACCTCAGCCAGACCAGGGTCCACAGTGCCCTGCTCTGGGTTCCAAGGAGCACACACAAGGCATGAGCCCAGCGGGCCAAGGTCCTGGCCTCAGTTCCCAGGGTCCTGGGCATGTACCTGTGGGGGCTTACTGAGAAGGAGGGGTACAGGACACTGGGAAGGCAGGAGGGGAGCTCCCTGGAGTTGGTGGGGGGCATGCCCTGGAATTTGCATCCCTCCCCCAGCTGGGGGAGCCTGCTGGTCCAGACAAGGGAACAAGACCACCATCTGTTTCCTTTTGGGGGGTTGTGTAGGATCATGCTGACATTGCCTTCAGCTCCTCTTCCTTTAGCCCAAGGCAAGCTCAGAGTTGAGGTGTCCCCAGAACAGGCCAGAGTACAAGAGGAGGCTTGTTTGGGGGCCCTGGGTGCTGGGGTAGGAGTGCAGGGAGGGAGACACAGTGCTGCTGCTTCAGTCAACTCAAGTTCACATTCCTTTGTTAGGTCAGTGTTGCCTTTTTAATAGGTCTGCTTCCTGTTTGTGGCTTTTAAGCTTTTTATTAAATATAACTGGTCAGATTCCTTCATCCCACCCACCCCACTCCTCACCCCCTCCTGCTTGTCTTTTCCTGCCTATTTCTCCCGTGAAGAATTACTTTTAACCTTTTTGAAGTGCATTAATTGTGAGAGAATCTTCGGTGAACCTGAGACGCCCAGTGCCAGGGGGAGGAGGAAGAGCATTGCTGGCTGCAGGCTGGAAGGGCCAGGCCGAGGCCTGGGGCTTTGGCCCTGCAGGATCTAAGGCTCCCGGAGCAGGAGCAGCTCAGGGGAGCCGTCCCAGCCCACAGACTGTGGGTGGGGCTGGGGTCAAATGTGCCCTCTGGGCCTAGGTGCTAGCCCTATAGGACAGCACAGTGGGCAAGGCAGACTAAAGGTCATCTGGGTGTCCTCCTACCTGCCCCTGCCCCCCAGGCCGCAGTTGCTCCCTGGGACCTCTCACTTCTGGGGACATGGTCACATGCCAACAGAGCCAAGCAGGTGTGGAAGAGACCCTGTTGAGCGAGTGGTGGGGACCATGGTGGCGGGCTACTCAGGTCTCTTGCTGTAGGCCAAGAAATCTAATTTTATCTGATTTTATTTTCACGTAAACTTCCTGATTAAAAATGTAAAATCATCCAAACTAAACAACACATAACTTTGGGCTGGGTTTGGCCCATGCCGACTTGTAACTCGTACTTGCATTTCAGGACCAACACTTACTTCCTCAGGTTCATGAGTCAAAGATGAGCCATAAAATGGAAGTGGCCACGGAGACAAGGGTCCTGACACTAAGCCCATGGCTGCCACCAGAAGATAGTGTCCGAAATCAGAGGGGCTAGAGGAATAGCCCCATCCTGACACCCAGGAGCTGACCCAGAAAGTCTTGGTGGGGGGGGGGGTGCTCAAGGTTAGGAAGCCCCGCATTTACACAGCTGCTCCCATCAGGAAAGCAGCCTCTGCTTGTAAGTCTTGGGGGGCCGGGCGGCCTTGCAAGATGAACTAGGAGCCCACTGCGTGCCTTGCTACAGAGAAAGAGTGGCTGGAGGGCTTTTCAGGCAGAGCTGAGGTTCCTCCCGAGGATCCCGCCCAGGGCACAGTGTCTCTGCTTCCCAAGTGCTGGGCGCCACATTGTAGAGCCAGGTCTGGTGGCCTCCGTCTTCTGGCCTCCATCCCAAGTGGGCCTGGGGAGCAGAGGGGCTGAGCAGCTGGCCCTTCCCTGCCTGCCCGGCCAGCCCCAGAGAGGGGTCAGGGCTTCAGGGAGCCGGTCGCCATGGGGTCCATGTGGGGGTGGAGACCCCTCCCCCCATGTGGGGTGGCTTAGCCTGGGCTGCCATTGCTCACCCTGGCGAGTGCTTTCCTGCAGTTCCTGTCCTCCACTCCACACCAGCATCCCAGCCCCACATGCCCCACTCTGCAAGGGAAATGAGCTCCTTGATGACTTCCTGCCAGAGAAGACTCGAGGGGAGGAAGGCACTCGTCCCTCATAACAGCCACGAGCCACTTCTTGCCAACTCTAGGGGAGAAGGTGAACATGCGCCTGCAATTTTGTCTTCCAGAACAAAGCCTCAGAAACCTAGAGTCACCAAGTAGTTTGCTATGTGTACCCTAGTTGGACGTGGCAAGCTTTTGGAGTGGCCCGTCTCCCATCAGGGGCTCCTGGGCCTGCCAGCTGCGGGGGGGGGATTGGATGTAGTCTGGCCTAGTACCACGGGTGGGGATGGCCTGCAGTGTCCATGTCACTGGAAAGCCCTAGGCCCCAAGAACCACTGGTGTGACGTGTGCATCACTGCCTCGAGTCAGGTGACCGCACAAATCCCCGGTGAAACTGATCAAGTCACGGAGCTCCAAACAGACGCACCTTGGAAAAGCCCGAGCTGTGGTTACTGAGAACCACAGCTGCTGGTGGCCACGGCGAGGACCTCGTCCTCTCCATGGGCCTGTCCCGCCCGCCGCATCCCACACTCCTCGTACCAGTCAAGAAATTGACCTTGCTGTGAGGCAGCCAGGCCCTTAGTCAAGCCCAGGAACAGAGGTCTTGGACCCCACCAGCTGGCACTCAGGATTCTCAGATTTGGTGATCTTTAACACCCTTCCTACTTCTACTAATCACAACCGAACGGACTCTACAGATAGAAGAGGAAAAGAAAAAAAAGGAAGAAATGTACGGAGTTGTACTCGTGGTAAGAACCTAGCAGGAACTTCTGCGTACTGCCCTTCAGGAGGAACACCGCTCAGGAGCCATGAACAGCTGTCTGAGGGGGGCCCTGTGAAGCCCCAGGAAGCCTGGCACCCATGGCACTGGTGGATCGCCATTTCACAGATGAGGACACTGAGGCCTGGAGGTTAAGCAATGAACTTGCCCAACGTTACATAGCAGGATGCGTCAATGGGATTGAACCCAGATTGCCCCGCTGCCGACCACTCTGCCCACGACTCTTCCTGAGCCCTGGCTCCTCACCTGCAGGGCTGGTGGGGAGGTGAGAATGCATGTGGGTCCCTCAGGCTGTGTGGGAGGAGGCAACTGTTGTAGCCATTCTGCTGGGCAGGGCCTCTAGCGGAGGGCCTGAGAGATGCGACGGGCAGGCTGCCCTGTGGCCCCGTGGCAGAGAAGTTGCGCGTCTGGAGAACCATGGCCTGTTTGCCTCCGACTGGTGTTCTGAGGAGGGTCCCTAGGCCATCCGGGCTTCAGCTTCTGCCCCCTGAAACCACTTCACGGCTTTCGGTGTCCCATCCCAGTCCAAACCAAAGAGGATCATTTTCCATGCTGCTTGCACACATGAATAAATGAAGTGTATTCAGGGGAATGGGCTGGACTGGAATGAACAAACGAGTGAACTCAGACCTTTGGGGGCCAAGGAGCCTGGTGCCTGGTGTGCTGTGGGCCTCCCCAGAAACATCTCTGAAGCAGGCAGGTGCTAACGTCGTCAGACCCCTTCAGCACGGCCATCTCCTTGTGAAATGGCTTTGGGCATTCTAGGTTCTTCAAAACAACTTGAAGGGGAGGGTGCCAGTCTGTCCAGCTCTGCAGACTCCAGTGGATGCTCAGGGCTGGGGAGGCAGAGACCATCTCCCCTATGAGAG